TACTGCAAATTTATTCGGTCCATCTCAACAGGAAGGTACTGAAACGATGCTGCGTGCGCGATGACCTCATTATATTGGCGCGTGAATCGCGCGCCCCCCATCGGGCTCCGATGGAGGGACTAAAGTTGTGGCCTGTGGGGTTTTACTCTATAGTTAACTGTGTAATCTAGGTGTTTTGGAGAAAGAAAATGGAGTGACTGCTGGATAGCAGTATTGAATGCTGTGTCTCCTGTATAACACTTGTTGGAAATCAGAACCCCTTTTGAAATCAGTTGATATTCACTTTCTTTGAATATGAGCTCTTAAAACTCCTTTCCGGATTGATTACTCACCATTCTCTGTCGAGAAATAGTGAAATGTTCGAAAATCCGAATCCTATCCGAATCAAACACCATTATCTGTTGCAATTTCTAGGTCGTGATGGCGCTTAGCGTTTTTGAAGTATAAACAAAGGCACAAGGTATCTTGAAAAGTTGTTCAGAACTAGTTTTTTGTGAGATGTAAAAGCCCAACAAAGTGAAATCGCGCACTGTCGTGATTCGTTCAATCTGTCATTAATATCTTTAAATTTTTCACAATCCCCTTCTAGTGAATTTTTAGTTTTGGGACACTTGTTTCTCTTCGTGATTTTCTTCTTCCATTTCCTTTTGAATGTTTTCGAGTGAACAGAAAATGCTTCAATAGTATAACAGGGCTTGTAAAGATTTGTGTGATGTTGAGTCATGCGCGTTTATAGTCGGTAGGTGTCATGGCGTTCATCTTTTTGTTGCTTTGTCAAAAAGTGAATTTCTGTCAGGTTTTCTCGTAAACGAGTATAACCGGCTGTTCCTCACTGCATGTCAGAACAAGTTGTGATTTCGTGGCTACTCCCAGAGTGTTCCAAAGGGGCATGGATGCTAATCTGACTACTCAATATTATACAAAAAACCCATTAGTGGCATTCACATATGCGGCAATGTGTTAACATGGCTCTTCGGAATGAGCAATTTTTGAGGATTAGCCTATTAGGGAGCGGGAAGTTAGCCATTTCTGGAGAATCGGATTGGTGATGAACGGAATTCCAAAGATGAAGTAAAGATATATGCGTTTAACGAAAATATGCATGTTGAAACTTGAATTAACTTGAGTTTTCAAAGAAAAGTATGAACCCCGTCGTATGGCCTTAATCGTCGCACTCTTTCCGTTTTTGTTTGTGGTAGGTGGTCGCATACTCTGGTTGATGAAATCCCTCGATTAGTGCTCATAGATCATGATCTGAGCCATTGCTAAAGAATGTGGTTTTTATGTTGAGAATTGGCTTGCCTTCATGAAATACTTTCACATTATCACTAGTATTTTTGTCATAGGAGAGAAGTGACCATGTAGCCCTCCGTTTCACATCTTGAAATTTTATGGATTGATTGACTTTTTGATTTATTTTCTGTAATTTTACTGTTGAAGTTTGGGTATTCGCGTGACCTGCATCGAAACTGTTTGTTAAAATGCTCTGAAGTTTCCTATAGAATTTCTCATTCTTATTTTATCATTCAACATATTTTAGGCTAACGCAGAGTTTGCCTTTATGGTGGAGCGAGCAAATCCTAGCTACGACTATATAGGATTTGTCGATGGACGACGAGTACGGCCTGTAACTTGTTCTGGCGATACAGAGTATTGTACTGAAATCGAAGGACGTACCATTGAACATGTACGTATTTCTATCAATTAAAACCCTAAGTTGGCTTGTGCTGTGATTTGACTTTATTTTGGATTTGTTCAAATTTCAGGGAGACTTAGCCCGACCCACAGTCATGCAGTCGACAAAAGCACCTCCTTTGCAGAACGCGTCTCAGAATGTATTTCTAATTTCTATTACTATTGTGGACAAAATTTGTATCGGGATCTTTCTTCTTTGATCTTTTATATTTAGTTGTCTGCCCCTAGCACTACTGCTAATGTTTCGTCAACAGCTGGAGCGAATCCTATGGCTGGGCTCATGTGGCCTGGTACCCTTGGTTACAATCAGCCATTGTCGGGTTTCCCATACAGCGGCTTCCCCATGAATCCCGCTTATCTACAGGTACGTAAGTGTTATGAGCAGTGGTTCCATTCGATTCAAGGTTCCCCTCAATTTCACTGTTCTTTTACAGCCATCTCAGTGGGCACAACATCTGCAAGTTCTTCAACAACAAGCGCAACAGTCTGGATTCCGTGTTCCCGATGTTTTTGGAGCTACGGCATGTATGGGCTCGTCGAATGGCCCTCCGTCTACATCAGCTTCTCTTTTCCCACTTGCGCAGCGAGGTTTTCCTCTTCAGGTTTGAGGCTACTACATTATCATATTTTATTGGCTTCTGGTTTTTATTATCTAAACTCTATTGGCCTTACGTTATTTGATTTTTTTTCAGAATAACCCTCTCGTAAACTCTCTTTTGAACACAGCGGCTACACCTCCGACAAATCAGCAGCCAAATCAACAGCAGATCCAACACCAGCAACATGTGGCGCAACAGGTAGGCAACTCAGTTGTTACTTTAGTACGATTTTTGCAGCCCATGGTATGTCACAATTCAGAATGAAAATAAATGAGCTGCTCTGCAGCTGCTAGCTTTAAAGACAGAAGATGCAACGGTTGGATCGTGCACAAGTTTTTGAAACGATCATCTTGAAGCTTGAGATAAATCCAGGTTTTGCAAGCAAAAAATAGTTTCAAAGTAAGAGGGGGGGGAGGGGGACTACTTTTTTGCCCTTATTTTCCACTTCCGAACAGTACACATTCTCCGCAG